TCATAAAATAACTAATAACTAAGCCACAAAGTACCAAAAACCCAGCTACCATATAAACACTATCTCAGCCATCAGATAACTAATGCCAAATAATCCAGCCACTATATACATACTAACTCAGCCATCAAATACCAAAAAACCCAGCCTTACCTCGCCATGTTCTCTAATATCCTCATTAATGATAATATCAAAACTTGAATGTGTACGCTTTCCACCCCATCGAAAAAGTGGAACTTCTTGCTCATTGACCACTCTCCCAAAACGCTCTCCAAAACAAGTGATAGATTCATACGCCCAAACCAATAACACATCCTTCAGACCGCTTATGGTGTATGTACTTCTTTGTGGATTCAACATCTTAATAGAGTCAACAAGTACTTCATATGCAGTCCGACCCCTTGGATACATCATCATGGCTTCATCGTCGAATACACTTTCTGCACTTTCAAACCGTATCCTAGAATTATGATGCAAAGCATAAAGTCCCATGGCTTGAAGAAGTAACAGCCCTCACCATTTTCGCTTTTCAAAACTCCAGGCCGGATATACCTCTAATGCTGCCCTCAGTTCATCTAACTTGGGTCCCACCCCAAGCGGCAGATTCAACTCCTCCCAAAACGATTTGTATTGGTAATGTTCAAAACTTTTTGTTGGATCTGTGTTTAACCCAGTGATCTCACTAAATTCGTGTAAGCTAAAAATGATAGGTTCATCACCAACTAGACTCCAAATCTTCTTCTTGTATACTCGAAGCTGACGACATAGTAGATAGTGGACAGTCCTACCAGACCAAACACTTTTGCGTTCAGCTAGCTTAACAATAATTCCAAGAGGACCCTGCCTCATGTGATCCCACACATCCCGTCTTATTACTTCTCTGACGTTAGGGAAATCTCCCATCTGCAAATTGTGATTAATCTCTTTATTTTCTAGATTAGAATCCCCTTCAGCGTAAAGTCGTGGAGGATAATCCGGTGCTTGATCTTCAGAAATAGTCATTTGATCCTAAAACACATCTATATAAATCAGCCGGAATAGAAACAAAACTCAGCCACAACATAGCAAATAACCCAGCCACCATATAATGTAGTCGTAAGAAAAACAAAAATCAGCCAAAACATAATCAATAACTCAGCCAAAACATAATCAATAACTCAGGCACAACATAATCTATAACTCAGCCACAACATAATCTATAACTCAGCCACATTAATCAATAACTCAGCCAAAACATAATCAATAACTCAGTTGGATCATAATCAATAACTCAGCCACAACATAATCTATAACTTTGTCGAAATGGAAAACTATATTTTCACAACGTAAATCAAACTCAACTCAACCACACTATACAATAACTCAGTAACAACATAATCTATAACTCAGCCACGTCATAAATCAAACTCGGTCACAATATAAATCAAACTCAGCCTCAACATACCAGAGAAGATGATGTCTTAGATACAATTGCGTCGAAACTTTTGCGGAGAAGAGGATGTCGACGAAGATGATATCGGAGATGATTTACGATATCAGAAACAATTCGATACGAGAGTATTAGTTGTGACAAAGATGATTTCGTGATTTCGTACTCAGTTAGAGTTTAACGGAAGTTGTGACGACGAAGTTGTGACATTATGACTTTTTTTTATTCACCGGAGATATGAGACGGTTGATTTTCATGTGTAACTGTTGATGACACAAATTAGTGATGTGGATTGCCTAATTATGATGTGGATTGAATAATTAAAATTTGTATCAATAGTAACAAAATTAAACAAGGGTGTTTATTGTAATTTACTAGTAGTCTGAAAACATTCTAGTAATTTTTAGAAAATATATGTTATTCTAGTAATATACCAACTTTTCTATAACATTCTAGTAATTTTCTCTTAAAAAAGAGCAGCTTGTAAGGCTATTTTCGGGAAAAAAAAAACAAAACTTGAAGAAGTAAAACAGTCATAGATTCCGTACTTCCTGCAGCAAAAGCCTCTCGAGAGCGTCTTCACCCACTTGTTTTGATTCTATCTTACTCTGTTAAGCAGTAGGACTTCTGGCTGAAACAAAAAAAAAAACAGCCTAAAAACACACAAGAGACACATGAATGCATGAGATACATACCAACAATTTAAGATAACAATTTAAATGTGTCATCTCACTATGGAAAGTCATGTACAGTCATTATGGATTGACCAAAGATCATCTATATTATCATATTTTACAGAACCACAAAGCTGTAAAATTAGTTACAAACCAATTCAGGACTTTCAGTGTGTAATAATAAGGCAGAGCACCTATAAAGACTGAGTAAAATGAAACATATTACCTTGTCAAGAAGGAGCTTGTAACCACAAGTTCATTGTAAAAGTGCTGCAGCTTGTCGTTATTAGCACTGATTTCAGAAATCCAACTTCTAATTCTCCAAGCTTGACCTGAAAATGTGAAACAAAGAAATCAAACATAAGGCTGAAGAAATGGGAAGGAATGGCTGTCCAAGAAATTAAAAAAAAAATGGAGCAGTGTTGGGTTTTGTGCCGGCATTAGACTCCAACCTAATACACTGTGGTATTAAATAATCCAGTGTAGCATATAAATTGCAGAATGGATTATTGAAGTTACATACCTCTGCAAAATAACTGTTGCCAGCTGCAGCCTGCTTGTCAAAGGAGAAATGGGTGCCAGAAGTTGCATTCAAGAATAATCTGACATGCATATAAATTGTAGATTAGTTACAGAGAGTTGTACATATTGTTAATATGTAGTTAAGTAAATAAAAACATTTAAACAATTCTATGAGAAACCAGCAATCAAACTGAAAGGAAAATAGGCCTAACTCCAATTGCTTGTCCAAGCCCACAGTCCAATAATGGAAACTGCGCAAAAGAAGAAAGACGTCAGTGTCGGTTAGTCAAAATTCTAAGGCAATTAAGAAAAGGAAAACTAAAGTCGGTGGTTGGGACTATATATTGACAGAGTTAGTTATCGACTTCTGGATCATCCGAAACACAAGCAACAAAGAGGGGGTTAGAGAGAGATCAACATTTAGGAGAAACTGAAGGCAAGAGATATTGTTCGAGTCATATTGCTTCGGGATATAGTTTCTTAGATCTCTCTAAATTTTTGTTTCGTCTTCCTTTTGAGCCCTTAAAATGTTTATGTAAACCCTTTGAATGATAGTGGAAGTTGTGGAACAAAGTTCCCATCCTAGACGTACCGGCTCGAAACCGAAAACTTAGTTATCACATTCTCTAGGTTAAAGAATTAATAAATCTAAGGATCTATAAAACCTACAAGTGGTATTAGAGCAATCAATAAATCCTAACACAAACAACAAAAGGATAACTACCTCTAACAATTTTTGGGTTGACACAATAACCTTTTGGTCTAGGCCGTAGCTCTGTAATTTTTGAAAACGCTACAGCCATTGCATCGAATACACAAAGCCAACCCGATACATCCATGTACACTTGTAATGTTTGGACTGATGTTATACGTTTTATTTTTTAATGTGAGAATAGACAACAATAAAGAAAGTTTTGGATATGAGAATGGGGCTGACCTTTGAATTTTAATGGTTGCCCTACCACGGCAAAGCTGAATGTGCTTTTGATCCCAGTGAACTGACCAATAATGTCTGAATAAAATATAGAAACAATCACAAAATCAGCATGAAATTTGAATTCTCTGTTCTAGAAGAAGAATTTAATAAACCAACCAGGAAGATGAGTATTGGTGTTAGCCAAGCAAGCAGGTTCTTCTCGTTGTAGAAATAACTCCATAAGGTATCGGATTGACCAAGTTGGTAATCTCATCACAAAGCCGTATGGAGAGCTTGGATTCCGACAATTTGAATTTGGGTTTCTATGTGTAACGTCGAACCCAATAACAGAGTACATTGAACCTTCGTGTGTGAAGGTGTTGAGCTAGTGTGTGTTAGCAGATACTTGAATCATTTTCAGCTGTGATAGGTTAAAACAAACAGAATTAACATTTTAATTTGAATTTTTAAAAAAAAAAATCAGTCAAAGCAGGAAAAAAGAGTTATATGACACTTTTCTCAAAAAGAAAGAGTTATATGACACCAGAATTACCTGAGGTGCATGTCGACACCCATGAGACACTTAGGCCATACCTTCGCCGCCTTTCTTAAGGTTTCAGACTTTTCAGAATCTAAACAATCAGACTCCGACGGTGTTTGAACAGCGCTCAGCTTTGAAGTCATGAGCAAACAACCATTCTTGTGTGAGGGTTTCTACGAATTCTAATAATGCCAGAAGGTGAAGCTGATGAATCTGACAGACCGAGAACCCTTATTTATAGATCTAGATTCGTCGTTTTTGAAAAAAGAAAGGGACATTGAATGAGGGATAGTGGGAGACGTGGATCGATAGTGTTAAAGCTAGGTCAATGAGTATTCTTGAATGCAACAAACGACGTCATCAGAATGAGGGGATGGAATATCGATCGACAATGCAGAGTCGGATTTGTCGAGAAACATATTTCTTGTTATTCAGAAGGGACAATTTTGGTTGATTAGAATAGAAGACTAAACTTCAGGGCAGAGACGAAGTGTTCCAGAGATTATATGAAGATTTTGGGGATGTGAGTCTGTCTCATATTCCTCGAAGTAAGAATGGTCAAGCAGACGCGCTAGCAAAAGAAGCAAGGAATAGAGGATATACATTTTTCCATATAGATCAGATCCGGCGAGACGAAGATCACTTGATATAGTTTAGATGGGTGGTTGAAAAAAAAAATACAAGACTAAACAATGCGAATGGAGATTCTTCATCTTGATTTCAGAAGTGACAATTTTGGTTGATCTCTTGAAAAACCATGACGTATTAAAACGCTTCAGAATTTTTTTTAGAGATGACTTGTCAAACACGAACCATGGAAGGCCAATTTGTTTTTTTTATAGAATGAAATGTTGAGTTTAGAAATAGATATCAGATGTTAGGCTCACAATAAATGAATTGATGAGGTGAAAAAACAGTACACTATATATATAGATAGATACTGCTCAGAAAATAACCATCTCATTCCCAGATACGTCTTTCTACAAAATGTAAATTTATTTTTGTCTTCTGAGAGAGATTTCAAACAAACTCTAATCCCTAGAAGGTTTTGGTAAATACATAAAACTACATAATGCATAGATATATACTGCTATATTACATAGAGAGAAGAGTCATGACGTGGATTCAGCTTCCTCGGAGCTACTAGGAGAGTCTTGTCTAGCACTAGCAGTTGGGACCTCTTCTTCTTCTCCGCAGAATACACTCTCTTCACTTGTATCCGACGACGTACCTTCCTCGTCTTCTTCACTCACTTGTTCATTTCGCTTCTTTTGCGACACTTTTATCCCTTTACCTTGAAAAGAGAGCCTTCTTCGTTTTCTTGCTTTCCTTTTCCCTTTGGGGAACTCTTCTCCTTGAGAGTGATGCAGTTGTTTCTTTCCTCCCTTGCTGCTTACGTTCTCATCTGACTGGTCTTCTGCTGCATCAAGCTTTCGTTTCTTTTTACCTGAATTAGTCTGAAACAACAACACAAAAAGATTATTTGAGGTTACTATTACATGTTGAAGCCAGCGAAAAAGAGTGAGATGTTAAGCCAAATACTTTGGGGCCACGATCAACAAGACGAGCCCATTCATGCCTATTCCTTAGGCAATCAAGAACAGCCTGTGAATGGCTTGAATATGCGTATCGTTCTCCATTGTGTTTTCTCAAGTGAGGCCAGTGCTGCAAGAAAGAAACAACCACACATTAGAACAGCTGTTCTGTGACCAAAACTGATGATAGATATGTCTGAGGTCACAAGGAGGCAGTATACCGGCAACACTGCGTTACAGAGCTCTTCATATGTCATCCTCTTGCCTTTGCTCATGATGTTATTGATCAAACCTGGCAAAGTTTGATGAACTGGAGTACCATTATTCCTTGGGGAGCTGTGTGGAGAAGGCTCATTATGCTCATTGGATGAAGACGCTCCGCTGCTTGTGCTTGTAGTCGAGTTTGGCTGGAGAAGTACCCTCCGAGAAGAGTAAGATGTTTTACGGTGTTCACTTTCTTCGTCTCCTCTGCTTCCACTGTCTTGATGTGTTCTCCAATCAGGAGGGCGACGCGATTTGGTACTCCTCGTACTACATCTATCATCGTCACGAAATTTGCGTAAACCTTCTTTGGATGCGTCCTTGTTTTTCCTTCTGGAAAACTAGACAAACAAATACATAATCAGCCAACAAGCCTGAGCCTAAAAACATCATCGACTTTAAACGAAAAAGGTGAAAATTATAATCATACCGTTGTGTGATCCTTGATGCCGGAACTACAAGTGCGCTTAAAACTAGTAGCGGTTGGAGACAGGGGCAAGCTACCAGGCTGTCTCATGCGTGGGACACGGGGAACTCGTGGAGAACTGTTGAGTTGATGGTGCAGTCTTAGGGCAAGCTGGTCATGAATGAAACAAACAAACAAATGTCAAAACTGAGGGATGATGAAAGAAAAAGAGAATGGATCTCACGTACCTCTTCATCGCTTATATTTGGGGTAAGGGATGTTATAGATTGCATTGGGTCATTTTTCTGGAAGGTCCCTGAAAGCGAATGTTTACCAGACACATCAGAAGAACCACCATTAAGCCGAGATGCTGAAGATGCCTTTAAAGAAGAGGAAAAGTCTCTTGTCTTGGAAACTGAAGAATGAGAAACACGGCTCTGCTGCATCGATTTCGTAGCCGTAATAGAGAATTTAGTATGTTCTTTAAGAGACTTCTCTGGAGGTTCATCATCCCCATCTCTCTCTCGGATTACATCACTGGATACACAGTCCTCATCATTAGTATTAGCATTTTGATCACCATCACTTGGCTGTTGCTTCGAGAGAGGTATAGAGTTCCTGGAAGTAGAGGGCTTAGGTGACTTTTCCGTGGCTGAACTAGACGATGATTTGCCAACGCTGACTACCATCTTAGGCCTGCTATATACTGAAAACGTGTGCGGAACAGGTCTGCATGGCTTTGATGGCTCTTGAAGTACACCGGATCCAGGCTTTGTTTCCAGACTATTTTTTTCTGCTTCCGAAACCAACACTTCTCGTTTTAAGTCTGTAGCTCTGTCTTTACTGCCACTACTTGTTCTTTCTGATATCATTTCAACAGGGTGCGGTTTCTGGTCATCAGGAGGAAGTGAACTGCTCGGTGTCATTTTTTTATTATACTCGGAAACTCTAGATTCAATAAAATCCAGAGTCTGCTGCCCTACAGCTCCACCAGCACCAATCTCCGCAATTGTGTTTTGGAATTTGTTCTTCCTGGAACCGATTCTCCCGCTGGCATCAACACAACTTTTATCTTCAGCTTCTGCATTATCTCCTGGAGCATCAGCTATTGTACCTTGTCTCTGCAAAAATAAGTAAATAGTATTTCCTATCAGTTGCTTCCGCATTGTTAACTTTAAGCTTCAATAAGATATTAAGTTTTTCCTAGGTTAATGCAAGGAGTTGTTACAGTCTACAAGACATCAATGCAATTGCTACTCAAACTTCTCCATTATTGCTGTAAGGGTTCATCAAGGAGGGCATGCATATATAAGAAATCAAATTGCTTTGAACTAAACCACCTAGATAATAATCAACTGAAAACTTCATCTCTTGTTATAGGACATACCTCCTCTGCCTTATCAGTTTCATTGTGTGGAACATCTTTTCCTGCCGAGACAGAAGGATCTTCAGTGGCAGAGCTCTTAAGCACAATTCGGAAATGATGGCCAGCTTTCTCTTCCTGTTTTCCAGCACCATTAGCATGAACGTCAGAAAGATTCTGTTCTTTGGAGCATTCAACACCAATTTCTGTATTACCAGATTCACCATCGCCAATGCCACCATCAATAGATTCTTCAAAAGAAGCTTTCTTTGACTTCTCAATCTTTGTGATCCCACGGTCTCTAGAAAAACCTTCTGGTTCGGTGTCTTTACAAGATTCTGATGGTTTACAAGAGATTTATTTAAGAACAACGTATAATTGCAAATTAAAGTTTGCTTATAACATCAATAGGTTCCAAAAGAAAAGAGGTTTCACTGACCTGTTTTACCGACAAAACCGTTCTCTTTGTCAGCAACCTCGACCTTCTTCTTAATCCGCTCTTTTGAAGCCCCAAACAGTTCTTTTCTTCGCTTACTCGTTATCAAGGGACGAAGTAAACTCTTATCCTTCTCCAGGGCACTCTGAGAATGTTTCATCTCAGCTTCCACAGAGTCCATGTCTTTAGCACAACCATTGGTTAGACTCCTCATTGCAACCAAAGCACTAGCAGGAGCAGCAATCAAACTCTCCTTCGACATAGAAAACAAAACTCCAGCGCCGTTTTCTTCCTGATACCCATTCTTAACCTCATCCTCATCCCAGCATGGAAACTCTCTATACTTGAAGTTAAACTTCTTGGGCACATAACCAGTACACTTCCACAGCTCACGGGAGAAAACAGACGACAACCCTCCAAAGAGGGCCGGATCACCGCCCGGGATTCCTTGCACATGAACCTTCTCTTCCGTCGGGATCTCAGTCCATAACCTAAAAGGAGGCTTAACAGGCACATTCCGAGTACACGAGCTCTCCATTCTCAAGGTCTTGGTGGGAAGCTCAACCAACAACTGAGCAACCTCGGTCTCTTCGATATCATCATCATCAACGTTCTTGTTCTTTCTCTTACACTTGTCGCAAGTGAAAAGCTCCTCTCCTTTAACGTAACGAGAGCAGCGAGTATGAACCCAAACCCCACAATCATCACAGTTGACCATCTCTTCTCCGTCATCGAAATTCACACCGCAAACGCAATCAACAGTCCAAGATCCATCGACCCAATCCTCGTGATGTGACCTTCCTTTCATCTCGCGGAATCTAAATCTAACAAACCCTAAAACCCTAACCCTAGATTCGACTATTCTAACAAACCCTAGGAATCAAAGAAGAATATTTCTCGAGTTCGAGCTCGGGAGATTTCAAAAGACGATAGAGCCGTATCACCTGATAAACTCAAGACTCCGGCTCAAACTCCGGTTCCAGCATCCAATTGCGGCAGTAAGCAGCGAAGCTGGTACCTAGATAGATTGTCGGAAGCGGAACTGAACAAGAAAGTTATGAAGTCCGGAGCTGGCAATTAACTAATTTAATTTACCGTCTCAGGTCCGTCTATAACTCTTCTGGGCTTTTGATTCAATTATGGGCCGGCCTCGGACTCACTTATTAAGGTGCCGTTTATTTCACCATCTATCATTTCATCCACCTAATCCATTTAGATGATTCATCTAGATAGTCCATCCACATATCTATAATAATAAAGTTGAGTTATCTGTCCTGTTAGGCTATCCACCTCATTTTTTACATAGTGGGCTTTTCCACCACGTATCAATTCACTAAACCATTCCGAATTGATTTTGGTTTACCTCATGATTCTATCGTAGTGGGCTATTTATATAATTTTGAGTTATTATTATAACTTATGATGGGCCTTTGAAAACTCTATAAGAAGTCCATATTTTTAGGTTTCTTTCAATGTTTTGAAACGCGACCCAAACACTGAACCGGACGACTTACCGGGTCACCGCGTCAACCACGGATTAACTAATTAATTAATTCTATTATAGAATAATATTTATTCTTTTCATTTGTCATATAAAACATTAAAAATAGTTTAGTCTAGAATTTTGTTTGTAACTTGAAAAAACTTATGATCCTAGAACTTAGAACTTATAACAGGTAAAAAGGTAGATTAATGATAAAGCAAAATAATCAAAAACCAAAAACACAAATAGGAATACAAAGTAGACAGAGGAAAGAAAAAGGAAGACGTCGAAAAATAAAACTGAAAACCTAACTCCTTAATATAATACAAAAAAGATTTTAAAAATATAATTATAAATTTATAAGGTTTTAAAAAAAGAGTAAAAATCATTTATTGGTTCAGCCGGTGGTTCAACCGGTATCAGGTTTTGGGTTTTACTGGGTTTTTAAGGGTTTTTGCGGACTTTTAAATTTTGGCAGTGTTTTGAAACTCGACCCGTACCCGCGGTTGAATTGGTAAATCCGGTGACCCAGAAAAAATCCGGTTTGGGTTTCTATGAAAAACCCAAAATTTAAAAATCCGCAAAAACCCGTAAAAACCCAGAACCCGATACCGGTTGAATCATGCCAAAATTTAAAAATCCGCAAAAACCCGTAAAAACCCAAAACCCAATACCTGTTGAACCACCGCTTGAACCAATAAATGACTTTTACTTTTTGATGGTTCTTCTTCTTCTAAACATCAGTCTTTAACTAGAGCAACGACCTTCGATGACAATGAACGCCAACCCCTGACAAACATTGAAGGACATGTACGTGCTACCCACTGTCTATATGTGTACTCGGCTAACTCTATTTAGTTCTCCGTTTTTTGATATGTCTATGCACAGAAAGAAACCCTGGCGCTAGAGCTGTGAACACTTAAAGGCTCACTAGAACACCAGTCAACCCTCACCTTACAACACCACCTTCATGTTATATTACGATGCCATCAATAGAACAAACAAACGTCAACTCCACTCATCTTCACTGACGACCTTGAGAAAAGTTACGTCTACAAGAGTCCAACTTCTACAAAACTCCTCGCCTTCAGTTACGAACTGTTGCTCTGTTCATTATCTCTTAGAAATCTTGCATTATAACTTAACAAGGAAAAGAAAGGCTGAGATCGGTGGCTGTTCAGAAATATTTTTCAATATGTGTATAAATTTTTTTTAATAGTAATATTTATCTAAATAAATCTTATATCCTATTAAATATTATTTATTTATATTGCATTACATGAAATAGTAAAGTAAATCATTTGAAGCACATAAAATAATTTTATTTATATGATTAATATATATCTTTAGTATTTTTGTCAGAAATATATAGGGTTTTTTTGTTGCAACCAACCAAAATAGGCTAAATACACATCTATATATGAGTTTTCAATAAACACACAAATACAATTACATAACTAAATAAACAGAATCCCACAATAAAAAAATTTAGCAAGCTAAATAAAAGATATATAAAAATACTGAGCCCAGTTTTTAATTAAGTATAGCGACCAAAAAAGTAATATGTAAGTTGAGCGAGCCAATATAGAAGAAAAATAATCAATAGTTGGTTTTAGTTAATAAAAAAAAAACTAAAACCATGAGAAACAAAGACCTAACAAACATTGATTAGGGGTAGACAAAATATTTTAATGAATTATACTTAGGGAAATTCCAGTAGCCTATTTTAAGTTTTCGTCTCCAAAATAATTTCTAAGCTAAATATCAATAGAATTTATTAATTGAGAGTAAAAGTCTATAATATCTTTACTTTTATGGTAAACAAATTAGAAAAAGTAATAAACTGCAACCACAAAAAAAAACTTGCGACGGCCATACATTTGAGTCTGCTTTGTTATTTGAATCCAATATGGAGAGCAGAATCAGAGTTGCAAAAAATAAATTATAGAAAGCTTTCCTTTACTGGTTACGGATAAAGATGAGCTTAACTACCTTACTTATTGGTAAGAAATTCAGGTTAATCTCTAAAATAAAATTTCAAATATTTTCCTTCTATATATTGCCCACAAGGTACTTAACAGTATAAATATGTTCTTTAAATAAAACAATTACTATATGTGTAAATTCCTTTTGATATGACTATCAGTTTTTTATTCTACTCATGTTGAATCGATTATTCAAAATCACTTATGTTATTGTACTTCGTACTAAACAACTAAAAAACCAAATAATACACACAACGGTCGCTAAATGAATCTAAAAATATCATGTTTTTGAACATATGTTCTTTACGAAGACTATAATATGAATTGTAAATTTGTGTAAAAATAAAACATAAGAAACCGGCGCGTAGCGCCGGAATACCACTAGTGAACCATATTTTTGAGATTGTTTGTTTGTTCATCCAGATAATGGATCATCTAGATGGACTCATGTTTGGTTCCCTATTTTTCTTCTCTATCTAGATGAGTTTGGTAAATAAATTACTAAAATACTCTTGTTTTTATTTAGTCAAATGTATGATATTAATTTTAAATAAATTAACTTTTATAATTTTGACGCGAAAACGCATTTTTACGGCTTTGGCGGAAAAATGGATCTTCACGAGAAAAAAACGGGGTTTTGCGGTTTTGGCGAAAAAACATGTTTTAGCAGGAAAACGCATTTTTGTGGTTTTGGTGGGAAAATACGTTTTTACGGTTATAGCATGAAAAAACGGTTTTGCTATTTTAGCGAAAAAATCTTTTTTGCGGAAAAACGTGTTTTTGCGGTTTTGACAAAAAAACTTATTTTGCGGTTTTGGCGGGAAACGCGTTTTTGCGTTTTAGCAAAAAACGCATTTTGCACGAAAACGTGTTTTCCGGTTTTTGCGGAAAAATGTGTTTTGGCAGAAAACGGCCTTTTGCGGTTTTGGTAGGAAAACATGTTTTGCGGTTTAGGCGGGAAAACGCGTTTTGACGGAAAATGAATTTTTGCGGTTTTAGCGAGAAAACGTGTTTTTATGGTTTTGGCGGGAAAATGCGTTTTTGAGGTTTTAGCTGGAAAAAACGTTTTTACGGTTTTGGCGGAAAAACATGTTTTTGCGGTCTTGGCAGGAAATCCGTTATTGCGATTTTGGTGGGATAGCGCATTTTTGCAGTTTTTACAGAAAAATGTGTTTTTACGGTTTTGGCTGAAAAATACGGTTTTGTCATTTGAGTAAATGTGGTTTTGTCAAATAAGTTACAAAATAATAATATGTTTAGGTTTGTAATTTATGAATTATATAAAAGGGTATAATAGATATTATATAATTTTGGAAGAACCATCTCCATCCAGATGGTTCAAATTGATCCATCCAGTTGGACTTAAAAATTAAGCCTAAAATTTCAAAGTTATTCTGATGATCCATCTAGATGAGTTGTACTTTTAATGTCTAAACAAACGAAACTCTCGTCTCCATCCAGATGAGTTATCTGGATGATGAAACAAACATGCCCTAACTTATCTTTTTTATGAACCCAATACCTTTTTTTTACCGATCAAAGTTACAATTTTACTAATTATAAATATTTTCAGAATACAAAATGGAATTTAATCATGAAAGAGTATATGGAATTGTCTTTTGGAAAACGCCATTCGAAAGTCCTTTTCGAGCTATTAGGTGTGTTGCTTTATTTCCTCATCTTCTTACAAACCGGTGCATAGAATCTTTCGATATCTCCAACTTATAATAGAGTTGACATACTCAAGGTCATTTTTTTGATTTTTTGTTACACTTAGAACCACTTTTTACTTTTGAGGTACCTTGTTTTTATTACACTTAGAGCCACTTTCTACTTATGAGGCACCTTGTTGTGAGTCAAACAAATTGTAGACAGTTTTATATTTAATGGTTGATTAAATTTTGATCTACACGCTCACGCGGATGTATTTTTTCAAAATATATTGCTATTTATTTTTCATATCAGTATTATATATTATATATGTGTCATGATATAATTAATAATATTTTATACGTACTATAATATAAATTATTCATGGGTTTACGGGTCGACCCACTCCGCTGCGAATTGAATCATTTTTGATTCAAAAATTTGAAAGCCAAGTGGGAAACATTATACCTGAACCCGCCTTATTTAAATTATTGGTAAAATTTTAATATTTTTATCACAAATATATTTCACAAAAAGTAGTATTTGATTCAACTTGTGTTCAACATAAATTCATAAACCATTTTTTATTAAAAAAGAATCTCATGTATATTTTTTTATGTTTTGTAATTTACATATAGAGTAGAATATATTATATTATAATATAGATTTTTTATAACAATTCTTTTAGTACATACTATTATATTAAAGTTTTATAATTTGATAGAATTTGATGTAATTGTACTATTCATATATCAACATGTTGTTTTTGTTAATTTATTTAAAATGAAATGATATACCAAAAATTGTTAATGGACAATATATGAATATCGATTTGGTTAGATAAGCTTTTGATTTGTAATTAAATACTGTAAATTTATTTTAACTGCAGTGGCGGAATTTGTAAATAAAAGAAATACAATAA